CACTCGTGCCCTGGGATGCGTGGCCATGCCCAGAGGTGCCCACTCGTGCCCAGGGATGCGTGGCCATGCCCAAGGGTGCCTGCTTGTGCCCTGGGACGCGTGGCCATGCCCAGGGACACATCGCCATGCCCAAGGGTGCTCCACTCGTGCCCTGGGATGTGTGGCCATGACCAAGGGTGCACGCTCATGCCCAGGGATGCGTGGCCATGCCCAGGGACGCGTGGCCATGCCCAAGGGTGCCCACTCGCGCCCAGGGATGTGTGGCCATGCCCAGGTACACATCGCCATGCCCAGGGGTGCACACTCATGCCCATGGACACATGGCCATGCCCAAGGGTGCCCACTCGCGCCCAGGGATGTGTGGCCATGCCCAGGGACACATTGCCATGCCCAAGGGTGCACGCTCATGCCCATGGACGCGTGGCCATGCCCAGGGACATGTGGCCATGCCCAAGGGTGCCCACTTGTGCCCAGGGATGCATGGCCATGCCCAAGGGTGCCTGCTCATGCCCAGGATGCGTGGCCATGCCCAGGGACATGTCGCCATACCCAAGGGTGCCCACTTGTGTCCAGGGACACGTCACCATGCCCAAGGATGCCTGCTCATGCCCAGGGACATGTGGCCATGCCCAGAGGTGCACGCTCGTGCCCAGGGACGTGTGGCCATGCCCAAGGGTGCACGCTCATGCCCAGGGACGTGTGGCCATGCCCAGGGGTGCCCGCTCGTGCCCAGGGACGTGTGGCCATGCCTGGATGCCTGCACAGAGACCCGTGGGCTCACGCTGGGACGTGCCACCGGGGCAGAGCCGTGGAGCGGGGACACCGGTCACCGGCTGGCGTGACGGATGTCCCATGATAGCTGTTCCGCCGGAGCAGGATGCTCGGGGGGGAGGTGGGCTCCTCACAGCTGGTGTCCCCTGCTGCGGTGGCGTGCAGGTTGTGGCTGGCAGCCGTCCCAGGCGGTCTCCTCATCCGGCACGGTGCAGCGGGGCTGGCTCGGGGCCACC